TAGTATTAGGTTGTTTATTATCTTTTCGTTAATCGAAAAATTGATTAATGAATTAATAAGCAAGGTATTTAATATTAACGCAACCCAGATATTTTACAAATTTTATATTCTTCGTTTTGGCATTATCAATTTTGGCCTTTTTGCAAATTATTTTACCAATAATTTTTTTGCCATTTAAATTATTTCGCAAACCTAATAAAGCAATAAAGTGTACTAGGTTCTGCTTAATGGTTTGGTTTAAGTTTCAACTAATGTTACCAGAAACTTGGCTAACTACACCTAAAGCATGACGTTATAGTTTTCATTTTATAAAATTGATGTTTATTTCTTCTATATTTCCCATTCTGTAAATTTTTTAATATTTTGCTAATAATTTTTTTCTTCTTTATACAGTGTCAACTAAACAGATTAAAATAATTTATATTAAACAAGCAACATTGATAAAAATTTTAGAATAAATTGTTTCAGTCCATTAATTTCAATTTTTAACTAAAAAAGCTTTCCCTTTATACTAGCCTTTATGGTTAAAGCACCAATAGGTGAATAAAACATGAAACATTTATAGATTTTAGAATTTGTGCTTTCAAATGTTCAGAATTATTTGAAGGAGTAAATAAAGATGTTTTATATCTTAAAAAGCAAAAAAAAAAAAATATCCACGCATAATTTTTCAAAGACATAACCAGGCGGAAGGCTTAAAATATGAGGATTTAAAGGCATTCCCCCCCCCTTGAATTTGTATAAATTCTTGCTATGCCACTGTTAATTATAGAGAATATAAATAGTTCTACCTTATAAAAATCTTTTATTTTTGATATCATACAAATCTGGTGAAATTGTTTCAAATAATAGTAGGGGAGACCGGGGTTATATTGTCCATAAAAAATTGAAGTGCTGTAAAAAAAAAAGAGACGAAGCAATTTTTCTAAAACGTTTAAACGTAGTTTTATTCTTATTTACATATATCTCTTGGGTAGAAATTAATATTTAATTTTTAAAAATCTTTTAGTTTATCATTAATATGATATTTAGAAAGGTGAAAATTTTAGAATTATGAAAAATACCTGGGGTACTTATTATCCTTCCGCGTTGCGTGCTATAGCGCTTCTTTATAGATTTTTAAAAAAATGTAAATTCTAAAGGAATAAATAAAAATATGTCGAATATGTTAAATTTATTATGTTCATCTATATTATATAACCCGGAAGAACTAGTTGTCACTTAAAACTGTCATATAATTTACAAATAGTAAGCCAATTATTGTATTGTCATTCGTGGTCCTAGACAAACTAGTGGCTTCTAATGTTTTTATAAATCTTGTTGGATTTTTTTTATTCAAAATAATCCCTGCTTAAAAATGGCTAATACGAACCCCGCCTCATAAATAATTAAAATTTGATTTGAATATATAATATTACCATAAATATTGTCAATATTTTTATATATGATAAAATGGAGATTTTTTTTATCAGTTAAAATTAATATTAAGTCTGAATAAACCTAAGTTATTAGTGAAAATGTAAAATTTTAAAAAGTTACTTTTGATATGTATTTATAATTTTTCATGAACAATTTTGTCCGAAACATTTTAAAACCAAATTAAGCTTCTTATTAAAATACATATTTGGCTTAAATTTCAATCACAAAGTCTATTAGTTTTTAAATTATTGGAGAAGGAAATACGTGCCTTGGGAACACACTATCCCCAGTCTCCCCTAACAGTAGAGTGGTCTGAAATCCCCTCCTATACGAAAAACTATTTCCTCACTATAATAAAAAAACATTTTTTCTATTAAAATTATGATCAAAAATAAGATGTATAAAAGGCAAGATAGAAGTAGCAGAGGACGCTGGATCAGCCTATCATCCTAAAAAAAAGATAGATCCAGACCATGGTCCTAAATAATAATCGGTTTTTTCATTTTTTGATATTTTAAGAATATTTTCGTTTTTATCTGATTTAATTCTTGTTTAATCATGAAATATAAAAGTATTTTATGTTAATCATCAATTATTAATAATTTAATAAATAATACAAATTTAATTTAAATAAATGTCAATCTCTCTTTGTTTGTAGTACCCCATTGGGTGAATTAGAAGACGGACTTAATGAGGGTGATACGTAGATCCATTCTAATTTGTCCATTATAAATCAATTTGGTTCATATATTTAGTATGATATTTAACCTTAGGTACTAAAAAAAGTGAATTAATGTTCTTGAACGGTCTAATAAAATAAGTGTTTTTAAGGTAATTTCATTTAGATTTTTATCATAAGATAAAATTTTGATGTATTATCAAATCTCTGCTTAAAGTATATTTAGAATAAAAGTAAATTATTTTAAGATACTTGTTACTGACGATACATTAAATTTGGTATTGCAGTAAACATATTTTGTTTTTAATTGGGAATTTTTTTTTAACAAACATTTTTGTTTTACAAAATATTCTTGCAAAATAAATGATAACTATAAAAGAAAAATAATCAATGAATCTTCTAGAAGAGTAATATTAAATTAAAATATATGTAAAAAATTTAGTAAAATAAATTATATAAATTGATAGTAAGACAAACCCAAATACTTATTAAAGAAATAGACTCCTAGAACAAAAACCGGTTAATCAGTTGTCCGACCAGTGTTAAAGACCGATATACCGGACCGTTGACTTTTAATAAATTGAAAGGGAGGGGGATTTTTAATATACAAATCTTTGAGGATTATTTTTTATTTTTATCAAATATTCAATAACATCGGTCGTAAATTATTACTATATATAAAAATACCAGTTAGGGCTCAACTGTTGTATACCTAAGCTTCCTCGCTGAAAGCACAAAATAAGGTCCGAGCTTAAAATTAGGTACATTTTCTTTTTTTATTAAAACGAAATTATTACTGGATGCAAGTTTTTCGCCGACAGTAAAATAAGATGTGAACTTGGAGCTGCAGGAGCAAATAAGTAGTCCTATTCAAAAACGAATTGAATAGTAACTAATACTAGTAACTTCGTCTTTTTACCAATATAAATAAAGAATTATCTTTATTTCATTCGACTAATTGAATCGATTCAAAATATTCGGAATAATTATTAATATTTTTCTTAATAAAATTTGATTATATATCATATTTATATTGATGACCTATCAACCTGACAGGTAATTTAATAGGAAAGAATATAGGATTCAGTATAAACATGGCTTTATTTTTTTTTAGCATAAATGAGTTCTCTAGAACCAGAATAACCCTTTTTGGTTTTGAGATTTTTTAATTTTTTTGTTGGAAATTCTACGAGCATGCCAAAACTAGAGTTAATACTTGGACAACCATTTCAATAGGTAATATCGGGGATGGTTTGAACTCATTTCAGAAAATCTGTCGCCATAAAAAAAAATATTGACAAAATTCTTGCAACAAACTATTATATTTTCTGAGCCCTACTCCGAGCGAGTTGCAAAAAATAAGATATCACCGATTTGAAAAAAACATAGGCCTGCTCTTTATAAAGGGAAATTATTCAAAAATCTTTTAAAAACCCTCCCACCCCCAATCCCTACAGGAAGTTAATAGAAGACGAAAGAAATTAGAAAAGTTATCTTGTGAATTAAAATTGAATTATTATTTAGAAAATTATTAATATTAATTTCTCCTAAATTGAGCCTTATTGCTCCATTGTTATAAATACACTTTTATGACAAAAAAATATACAAATGAAAATAGTAGAAAGGATGCTTTTTGGTTCAACTTATTACTAAAGAGCAGGCTCTTTAGATAGCTGTTTTTAAAAATACCAGAAAATTAATATGAAAAATGATACCAAATACTCAAAACAAACAAAATAGGGTGTCCGAGTTCAACAGCAGCTTAGTCTAAACAGCAATTAAGTATCAAAATTAATTCTAGCCAGATATTTCTTTTAAAAAAAATGAAATATGTCCCTAAAAAATTTGCCAACTTGACATAAAATTGTAAACATACTCCGTCAGGCTTTAACATTAAACATTCCTTTAAATTTCGAACCCACAAACCTATAGAGACAATAAAGGTACTAATGAAATATCTTTTATCCCTTAAAATTTGGGTCGGTCCCTCGCTTGAGATCTTGAGATTACACAATAAACATATTAGCCGTATAAAACAATAATAACTATTTCACAGAAACGAAAATATTAAAATATTTTTTCCTTCCAAACCATATCTTGTTAGCACCACTGTAAGCAAATTTAAGGGTCCTTCATAAGTTTTATTAAATATTAGGTGGAAATATTTCTTATTGGCGAAATGCAGGTTGTTTTACAAGGGGGAAGACACGGTAGATGCAATTTTTGTGGATAGACAAAATAAAATACATATATTTCCAATATCAATAATAACTATATATGCATTCCTTCCAGATTACTGAAATTAACATGATTACTTCTCATATAATAAGATGTAGCAAATGAAATAAAAATATATTCAGCGTAACATATGATCCTATCATTGGCATTCAATATAATCGTCAAATTAAATTGAGGCTGATCTATGATAATTTTTCTTGTGGTTCATTCTACTCTGAATGTCACAATTTTTGAACATTTTAAAATTCTTTTATATTATCAATCTTCCTAACTGATTCTTTGTAAAATAGAAGGGGCCATTTATTTCTATTATTTTATTTTATTGGGAGGGGGGAGTTAATGTAGGCATATTGGCCAATAGGGTAAATAACAAATAACAGGATTTTCACTACCTACTTTCTCATTCACATCTTTATATAATGGTATTCTCTTTATAATTTTTAAAAAGTAACTTTTGTCAAATCCAAAATGGCTTAGCCAAGTTTTTAACCTAAATTATTCATCATAATTTTCAGGTTAACTTTGTAATTAACCCAAGTTAAATTATTAGGTAAAAAGTTATATATATCTATTTATGTAGCTTTAAAAAATATATAGAAAATAAGGGTAACCGTTGAAAGGAATTTTGATAATCCAGATCATAATTCTGAAAATGACACTCACTTTGAATTCTACCTAAATTTATGAAATCTCGATAGATATGGAAAATAATGATAGACCTGATAAAATAAACTGTGAAGATGATTTAAATAAATCAAGTTATGATAATACAGGCGAATGTCAAGAATTCCATGTTTCCAACACTGACCTAACGATTATGTACATACAATATACTTCAGAATTAATGATGCCTGATATTATTAAACTAATAACCAAAGATTTATCAGAACCTTATTCCATATACACCTATAGATATTTTATTCACAATTGGCCACATTTATGCTTTATAGTAATTGATGTCTTATCTAAATATTTCTTTTTTATAGAATGGTAAAATCTTAAATATTATCTAGACTAATTGCTTATAGATTAACTCTTCATTAGTATTAAAATTTGACCCAAAAGTCAGCTCATATGGTTTTAAAGATCTCATTTTTAAAATATAAAAGCCTTATAAATTTTTTGAGTTATAATTTAATTTATATAATATTTAATTGTTAATAATTTATATGTCAAAGTCTTATGCAATATAATATTAATAGTCATATTTTAAAAATTCAAGGTTTTTTTAATTTAGATTTTAATCATTTTTTCAAAATTTAAACAGATGAGACATTTACTAGGAAACGATGATTGGGGTTTTTGTAACACCATGATACTAATGAAGGGTTAAAAAGTCAAAGTTTGGAGTTCTTTCAAGCCCAGATTTGAACACTTATTTTAGGATAAAATCACATGTTTTAGCCCACAAAAATTATCAGGGTTTCAATAATTTACCAAAGTTAATTTTTAAATATTTTATTTTTAATTTATTAAAAAGAAATTTATACTATAAATATAATTAATAAATATCTTATCAATTTTAGGCTACTGATATCAACTCTAAATGTATTGGAGCAATTGTTTGCAAAATGGAAGTCAGAAAATATTTTGATCAGAATATAATGTCACTGATTCAGTCAAATAGGGGTTACATAGCCATGCTAGCAGTAGATAAAGAATATAGAAGGCATAAAATAGGTTATAAAGATTTTTACAACTGTTAATAATTTATTATCATTATAAAAGTTAATAACTGCTAATTATAATAATATTTTTTTAAATATTTGGTATTTAATCATAATTTTTTTTTAAATTAATTTTGTAAAATCAATAATAATGTGTGTCAGGTAATGTTTGAAAAATTTGGGCCAGGCTGAAATTATTTATGAATTTTGATATTTGGTTGAAGTGATATTCCATAAAGTGCAGTGTTTTTAATTTAACCACTATCCAATATTATAAATAGTTGTTTATATTGGTGTTCAACTATATATATTTTGAGTCATGTTTATTTAAGAAAAATAAAGGGTAACCTTAGTAAAAAAAAATCTAAAACAGGCTGAGTTAAAACTTAGCCAGACAAAAGCTAAATTCTAAATTGGCCAGATCTGAAAATTTTTGCAGATTTCTAATATAGATATTGGCAAAAAGATGATACTTTCAAATTTATCCTAAATTAAATTGCATAAAAGATAACCTCTAAAAATGATAAAATAAGATATATATATATATGAGACTGTTTGATTGCATTTATTACATATATTTGGAAAATTTTAATTTTATTGGAAAATTAAGAAGTAATTTATAATGGATAAATTGAAATCATTATCACAGAACCTATATTATATTTTGAAATTTAATACAAATATGCTATTCTGTGGGATATGCAAATTATTACTCATTTTTAACAACCATGATAATAGAGCCACCTATTATAAAAAAAAAATTTTTGGTCAGTCTTGTACAATATCAAAATATTTTAAAAAAGAATAGTATTTTGTCATAAGATTTGATTTCTAATTTTTAAATTGAATCATCAATAATTGTATACATCATTTATCATTATAAGCATTATGTGAATTATGGATGAGTCTTAGTCACATTTCATCTTATTTTGTTTACTAAAAAATTGAAGGCTTGTTATTTAAAAATTATTTGTTGTGATAGAAAAAATAAGTTGATTTGTCATGACTTGAGTAATGGCTCAATCTACATGTGTGACACAGAAAATTTTTTACCTCTAAGGCTTTGTAATCTATAAGTTTCTTTCAAATCTGGGTTGGTATATTTTTAAGAAAAATCCTGAGGTCAAAGTGATAGAAACTATTTCCAAGCCTGGGCTGGATTTAAGTTCAGGCGTTATTTGGAACCTTTTGTTTTAATTTTTACCAACTACAAAACAGCTTAGTCAAGTTTTTAAATAGAAAAATCATCTAAACCTAATTTGGCTTAGCTACCATTAATTGAACACATATATATAAAATACTTGTTTTAGATTTTTCTCTATTTGTTTAGTATTTTATAAATATATCTTTCAAATTTCGATTGCCTTACCTCTTCATTAGAATTTAATCGTTATTTTTCTATTTTGGAATTAAGTAATTTTTATTTCTAGAAGGATTATTGTTCTATTCATTTCATAAGACAATGTTAAATTTGGAGAGCTATTTTCGATGCAAAAAGAACAAACATGTTAATCGAAAAAAAGTAACCGAGAATAGCGCAATATAACTTTGTATAATTAAGAGCTGGTTTATATATATATATATCAATATTTGATTTTTTTTTCGGATGGATTTAACTAGTGTTGTTAAACGGCTCGTTTTGAGCCGATTTTAAAAACGGCTAACTCAATATTTTTGCCTGAAAAATATGCCTAAGCCACGAGATTTCGCTGATAGATGTCCAAACCTTTGTTCTTTCTACAAGCAAAATCAGTCTTAAGTAATATTATTATGGATAAAATATTATATTAGCCGTTTTAAAAAATCGGCTCAAAACGAGCCATTTAACAACACTAGATATAACTCCACAACGATTGAACGTATAGTCTTTCTAAATGTCTTTACCATAATTTTAACTTGTGATTTTTAAAAAAAATCAATGATACAATGTTTTAGGCTCAAAATTGGTATTGAAGGCCATTCAAGCTATGATCGAAAAAAAATGCGACGAAGTATAGTTAATATTATCAATACATTCCGTATCGATTTCATCTCTAATTTCTACTCCCCATCTCTACACCTTTTTAAATGTTAAAAACTAGTCTTTTATCCAAGGCAAGGCCATATTAGACCATTGTTGGATTTAAAATTGAGCGTTTTGGTAGTATAAATTACACATTATAATTTCATAAAATTCTATATGGTGAATTCCATAAATAACCTAAGAAAGTCGATTTTCAACTATAAAACAGTCTTATAAATATCTACAGAAAAAAAATGGGTCTATTTTAAAAAACGGCCTGATTAAGATTTTAATCAAAATAATATTATGTAAGCCTTCAAGATTTTGCTCATAGCTGGGAGATATGCTTGGACATTTATTTGCTAAATCTCTATGCTCACATAATATTATTTTAGCTAATATTTTCCAAATCGGGTTTTTTAACAGCACTATTTCACGTTTTTGGTATTAATAACTTAATTTTTTTCTTGATATATTTGAAATAAAATGAAGTGCGTTTTTAAAATTGTACCATTTTCCAGCTCTTTAAACCCCCATATCTAGGCGAGTAAGTGGTGTTGGTTATACTACCAGAATACAAAATTTGAAAGAAATCTGAGGGGGTCGGGTTGAAACCTTGGTTGATTTGATAATTCGCCATATAATATAACTAAAATTACCTTAAAATACGAAAATAATTATTAAAAAGCCAATAAAAATGAAAACAATAAGAAAACCAATATTAAAAAATGTCATTTGTGTGTTAATTTTTTTTTAATATTAAATTAAACAAAGGAAAAGATTAAGATCGATAATATCTTTTATGTATGCCTGATTTTTTTTGGTTCCCCAGACTATAAACATTTTTAATATGCAAACTAAGCGCCGAAATATTCAAATTTTTGGAAACGCTATTTTGGTACGCCTGGCATGCTTATTTTTTATAATTGTCCTGAATTCACAGGCAGCGCGAATTCACTGGGAATTAGGCCTATTCAAAAATAATTCGAATATTCGATTCGAATAAATCGAATAATTACGAATACGAATAATAAATTATTTGTTTTATCTGAATACGAATAATCATTTATTCGATTCGAATAAAACGAATTATTCGTAATATTTAATAAATTGTTTAATAAATCTAACATTTGTCATAAAAAGAATGGGAGGATCTTATAAAAATTAAAGCTATACTATTGCCTTTATATGAAACTACAAATATGGTATGTGGGGAGAATTATCCTACTTATAATTTGGTTATACCTTATTATATTTTAATTCTTGAACATCTAAAAAATGAAAAACCTGGTTTCCATAAATCCTTTAACAATAGTTTCAAAGTAGCAGTGATAAATTGTTGGGCTATTATAATTTAACTGCCGATGATGCAATAATAACCACAATATTAGATCCCAGGCTTAAAGTAGAATATTTTAAATCAATATCTGTTGATTATGATATTGATATATCCAAGTTAATGGACAAATTTAAAGAGATTTACAATAGATATACAGGTATTTAATTTACCCCCATTTAAATATGATTTTATTTTATAAGCTCATAATTATAACTGTCAAACAAATAAGGATAAAATTCAACAAAACAGGCTATACATTGTTTTTAAACAAAATAATATTTAACTGTGTGAAATAGATTTTTATCTGAGTGAACCAAGAGCAAAGAGTGATACTGACCCGTTAATGTGGTGGAAGGCAAATGCATATCGGATCCCCATACTCTCGAAAATGGCAAGGGATTATCTATCTATACAAGGAACATCAACTGCTTGTGAAAGGCTTTTCTCAGTTGGAACTAATTTATTGTCAAAAAACCGCATGTCATATAAGGAAGAAAATATAAGAAAAACTCTTTGCCTTAAAAATTGGCTTAAATTATAAATTAAATGAATAATATATATTTTAATTTTGTTTATAACTTGATTATATATTATTTATTATCAGATTATTGATTACATATTATTATAATTTTTTCTGTTTAAAATCAAATTTGTAATAAAAAAATTTGTCAATATATTTGAGTATGATTTATTTTATTAAAAAAATTAATTCGAATAATTCGAATCAAATACAAATAGTAGATTTTATTATTCGTACGAATTCAAATAGTAAATTATTCGATTCATTTAAACGAATCGAATATGAATAATGCACTATTCGATTCGAATTCGTTTTTGAATAGGCCTACTGGGAATTATACAAAATGTGATGTAAATATAATAATTTTACATTAATTTTTGTATACTTCGCCGCGAATTCGCGTTAGCTGTGAATGCAGAGTTATATACTCAAACGCTCTAGCATGACCCTGTGCCTCATTTATTAAACGCTTATGTTCAATCGGTGCGAACGCTGCGTTATTTACAAAAGTCAATAAATAGGTATATATATATATATATATATATGTCATCAGTAATTTCGATAGCTTTAAATACCGCACACCGCTTGAATAAATCGCGTTTATTATAAATGAGATCTTAGCTTAGTATCTACTTTGAAGTTTGTAAAGATCTTAGGACCCATGCAATAACTGCCCTTTAACATCAAGCTTAAAAACTTAAATATATATTTTTTTAACTTTGAAATATATAAAATTTGTATTATACCCAGATAGTGCTGGAAACCGAAACAACTAATTCCGCCGCCTTATCGTTGTACGCAAATCTAGGATTCATCCGAGACAAACGTCTCTATCGATACTACTTAAATGGGGTAGACGCTTTCCGTTTGAAATTATGGCTCAAATAGATAAATTTAACGAGTTATATTTGCAAATTAAAATTTAAAAAATAATTATTTGTTTGGAACTTTGTTTTGAATTTTTTTTAATACGTATCAAAAGACTCGCCCAATCGCAAATTATTATTTTTTTCTTAAATTTTATAGTTATTTTATTTTTATTATTTATATAAATATACATATATATACAGGAATGTATATGACAACTTTCAAAGAAACGATTATTGTACATATTATATATTTTATACATAAAAAAAAATTGAAATATACTAGAAAAATCTGATCAAAGAATTAAAACTACCTAGCAAAGTTCGAAATGATACCTTCCACCTTTAACTGTGTTACATTTTTTTCCTATAAAATTTGAATTATTACTTTTTCGTGGCTTTTAATTAGCTATGAGGAGGTTACCAATGAGAAACTTTGACAGGGGATAAATCCATTAATTTGTAATAAATGAATTATTTTATATTATTCATAATATTTATTATAGGTATATTGTATTGTTATATCAATAATTTGAAGATTTTATTAATTAAGATGTTAATAAACTCGTTATAAGATGTATATGTTAAAAAATAATTTCCTAGAGGATTATTTAATTATTATATGTATTGCACTGGTAATAATTTTTATGGTTTTCGTTTGTGGTAGATGGATGGGCCAAAAAATAGTAATACAGATTACTTTTGATAGGGATGTTATAGAAAATATTAAGAAAGAAATTATGAGTAATAAAGGGGTAAGAAGTAAGGAAAGGACAGGGGCAATTATATGTTATAATGGTGGTCAGGGTGGTCATATTTCACGGATGTGTGGTAATACACCTGTGAATTGTGTAAGATGTGGTCGAGGGGGGCATTTAGAAATAAATTGTAGAGCCATAAATTGCAATAAATGTAATAAGTTTGGACATTTAGAAGATAAATGTTTTGTAAATATTAATAAATGATCAGATAATAATAAAATTAATAGTTATAGATTATTAAGTAGTATTATAGATAATAAATTGATAATATGTAATAATAAATGTAGTAGTAGTGATAATTTAAATTTTTGTAATAATATAAATTTAAGTAAATGTAATAATAATATAAACAGGATAGATTTTGAGGAGCTAGAGGATAAATGTCCTAGAGTTGAGGTCATGTTATTAGGATGTAGAGTCAAATTTTTATTAGATATGGGTTCAGTAATCAGTGTCATGAGTGTTAAGAAATTCAATAAGATTTGGCCGGGACATACATTTACAAAGGAAAAGATGAAGGTAACTCAGTTTGATGGGTCTATAATAGTAATTTTAGGATTTTATGTTATAAAAGTACCAGGTATAGGTAGTAGTAATAAATTATAATTGACCACTTAGAAAACGAAACTGATATTAGGATGGGATAATATTAATATTCTAGGTCAAGTAATGCATGGTGGAATTTATTTAAGGTACAAAAAAGTAAGAAGTTTGGTAAAAATTGTGTGAATAAAAAAAATAATAATAATGGTAATATTATTAAAAAATATGTTGACGATGAACATGTTAAAAATCGTATTAATAAGGAGGATAATAAATATAAGATTAATGAAATAGATAAAATAAAAGTGGAAAATTATAATATTAATGGTTTTCCGAGATATACGTGTGCAGATAAATTGTATAAAGGAGATAATAATCGGGGTAATAATAAAGTAGAGGATGAGGTTAATTGTAATAAGGGAATAAAGGATTTTGTATGTTCGGAATTGAAGGAGGTACTAAATAATAATAATTTTAGTATGCCTGATAATGAAACTTTTGCCATGGAAACATTAAAAAATAAGTTAGCTTATTTCCATTCTCAAGATAATTGTGGTGAAAAAAAATTCTTAAATATAGATGACAGAGTAAAGGGAATATATGATGGACAATATAACAAAGATACTGATGAATTTAAAATATGCAGTAGTGATGGTGTTATGGAAACGGATAATAAAAATAATGATAAAATAAATAACACAAATAATGATAATATAAATATGAATTCTAAAGAGAAGAGGGGTTTAAGTGAAAATAATGAAATAGAGGATACTGGAGAAGATATTGAAAAGGGGAACAAGGTTTGGATGAATAAAGACGGAAATGAAATAATAGTAATAAATGACAATAATATGGTGAAGGAAACAGATAAGGTGCTGGAAGATAAATATATACAAGAGATATGAATTATTGATACGCTACAATGAGATTCTTATAAAGGAACTGGGTACATTAAACCATTTTGAGGTGAATATAAAATTGAGAGATAATTCGATACCTAAATATTGTCCAATTCGTCGAGTTCCTTTTGAATGGCGGGATGATATATAAAAAGAGTTAAACAGATGGGTGCAGGAGTGAATTATAAAGTCAGTGGATAATAATAATTGGGCGACACCGCTAGTACCGATTAGAAAACCCAATGGTACTCTACGTTTATGTAATGATTTCCGGATCACTATAAATCAATGAGTGCAGGAGATCAAGTTTCCGCTGCCGAGAATCGATGAAATTTTAGCTAGTCTAAAAGGGACTAGGTATTTTTCAAAGGTGGATTTTGCTAATGCATATTTACAGTTAAAAGTTAACGAAGAGACCAGTAAACTGTTGACTATAACGACGCAAAAGGGATTGTTCAACTTTAAGCGGTTACCATTCGGGTTAAGTGTATCGGCTCTAATTTTTCAAAGAGCAATGAATTCAATTTTTCAAGGAATGGAGGGGATTTTTTATTATATGGATGACCTGTTGATTAGTGGGAGGTCCATGGAAAAACATAATAAACGATTAAAGAAGGTATTACAACTTATCAAAATTAGGGGATTGCGTGCAAATAGAGAAGAGTATATTTAAAGTCACCAGGGTAATATATTTAGGACATATAATAGAAGACAGAGGAGTCACGCCATTAAGTAAAAATATTGAGGGTATAAAAAATATGCGATCGCCAAAGGACAAGGAGTTGCAAGTCGTTTATAGGAATGATAAATTTTTATCATCGATTTATTGAAGCTTTTGCAGAGATAGCCGCTCCATTATATGACTTATTGAAAGATAATACACCTTTCAGATGGTTGGAAATTCAGGAAAGAAGTTTTAACGAGTTGAAGGATAATATATATAGATAACCCATTTTATTATGTTTTGATAATGTTTTGGAGGTGATTTTATCAGTGGATGCTTCTGCAAGGGGTGTGCGAGGAGCACTTTTACAAATATTGGACAAGGAGGAAGGCCTGTTATATATTTTTCGCGAAGATTCAGACCGGCGGAGGAGCATTATTCGGTTATTGAGAAATAATCATTAACTGTTATATTTGGGCTCATGAGATGCAGAGAATATCTAATAGGGCGCCGATTCATTATATATACCGATCACAAGCCGTTAATGTATCTATTTAAAAAAGACAACAAGGAATTGATGCTGTCTCCTAGACTTCAAAGGTGGTTTTTGTTAGTTAGAAATTTCAATGTGGAGGTACGTTATAGACCAGGAAGGATTAATTATTTGCCAGATGTGTTATCCAGATTATGTATCGAGGAAGAAATAGTGAACGATGAGGATAATTATGATAATGAAGCTATTAGGAAGTTATCTTTCAGGAATGGTCCAGTGACTTGGCAAGAAATAAAACAAAGTACGATAAAGGATGAGGAGATGAAAAAAATTAAGCAATGTTTAATAGGCGAAAAAAATTGGGAAAGGAAGGATAATCCATACAGATTGGTGGAACACGAAAGGGCAATTATAGATGACTGTTTGGTGAGAGGCAATAGAACTATAGTACAGAGAAGATTGAGAGATAAAGTAGTAAGAATGTTACATGCGGGACATCAAGGGGTAAGTAGAATGAAACAATGGGCTAGAGAATAAGTATGGTGGCCGTCAATGCAGAAGGATATTACAAAGGTCTGCAGAGAATGTTTAACTTGTAATGTTTGGTCAAATCTACCTAGAAGGAGGAAGGGTGATAGCTGGAAGGAAACTACACAAGCATGTGAAAGGATACATTTAGATTTTTTTAAATGGGAGAAAAAGTATTATTTCCTTATAGTGGATGCTTTTTCCAAATGGATCGATTGCTCAAAAGTGTCGGGATTAACGTCAGTTATTGTTATACAAAAATTTAAGGAATTTTTTTGGAAATATGGAATGGTAAAGATGATAGTAACGGATGGTGGTACAGCGTTTACAAGTGTAGCGTTTAAGACGTTTTGTGAGAGGCATGGTGTAAAACATGTTATAATGGCTCTAAATTATCACAGTTTCAATGGGCAGGCCGAGAGAATGGTTGCAGTGGTGAAATCGTGGTTGAAAAAGGAGAGGTATGGTTATGGTGAAAAATGATTGTCGCAATTGTTTTACAATAATAGCAGAAATCAAGATGGGTCTCCGGCAGAAAATTTTTGCAAGGAAAGACATTGTTAATATTGGATTCGTTAAAGGAAGGAGGAAATGAAAAGGTTGGAGGTGTAATGAAATCTAGTAAATTTTGTCTGGGACAAGAAGTGTATATTTTGATGTTCAAAGGAAAATTTCGATGGAGGATGGGCATGTGGAAGAAATAATAGGTAGTGTCAAATACAAAGTTAAAGATGACAATGGAATCGTATATTGCAGACATCAAGATCAATTGAGGCCGAGAGATGAATGTAAAGGAAGGGAGATGTTGTAATTATGAGTACATGATAGAGATTGGTGATTGATGTTGGAGAGTGTTGTTTATTTTTAAAATGAATTATGTTTGTTTAAAAATGTGGAAATTAAGGTTCCACGGGCAATAGAGTAATTCTTCGTACAAAAACAATAATTTTTTATTCAATTTAAAATAAATTCACAACTTTCATATAAAAATATATTTCCTTTTTTTTAATTTACAATAATCATCAAAAACTTTTTTAATTAATTAAAAAATCATCCTCTCTTTTTCTCTTTTTCTTTCAAACATAATAATAAAAACAAACATTATTCATTTTAAAAATAAACAACATTCTCCAACATCAATCACCAATCTCTATCATGTACTCATAATTACAACAAAGTTATTTTCTGGATTGTAGGGATAACCAAGTTTTATTTGCTTCTAGATAACTTTGCAATTATAAATGGGAGAGAAAATTTACCACTACTTGGTTACAGCAATGGGCTATAGAATCGATAATCTTTTTTAATCTGGCATATTTTGTTTTGAACTCCTATCATACATGAAAATTCAATATTTTCTGAATGTTTCTCATAATCATTTTGAACATAAAATTTAAAGGGCTAAATTATATTTCGTTCGTGTATTATAACATCTTATTTATTAACAGATATTACATAACAAATATTCTATCACATTTACACAATAATTTTTTTATATATATTAATCATATTGTAATGAGTCTGAGATTCCCGCCAAAGTCACCAACCCCTACCAAAGAAGAATAATTGGGGTGAATACTCAGAGCTGTTATTGCCTTACTGTCAGGATTTTTGGAATTCCAGGAACCATCACGAGAATTGAGATCAAGAGATGAAAAGAGAGAAGTGGTATTTGAGTTGTAAATGTATATCTTACCATCACTACTACCACTTATCAGATATTTGCTATTTGGAGTCTGATCCATATCTACAGAGAACCCGTCTACCTTTTTTTTAAAAAAAAATTTTGAAACTGAACGAGAAATCATATTGATTTGAATTGGTAAGTACAATAATTTATTATGATCGTATTATTTTATCTCAGCTTCAAACAATATTAACTTCATGTATAATTTTCTTCTTATGTAAGAATATTTTATTTATCAGCAAAACTAGCGACGATTTACAAAGATGATTTGCTTATTTGCAAGCAATATTTAATCTTTTTGATGGACAGTTATATATTATTGTTTGTAGGAAAAGTAAATATTGGCCGTAGTTCTATGAAAAACTAATAACTTTATTTCATAAATAGCCACAATAAAGAAAATAATAATATTCTGTTATTTTTTTTACAGTGTGACCACCTTGAAAACGTTTCCGCTTATTCATCTTGTAAGGAGGGCGGACAGAAAAAATTGCGATATAATTGCCGTTTGTTTGAGCGTAAAATTTTGCCGGGTGACCAGTATTTTCCGTTAATAGTTTAGGACAAGAATATTTTTCCTTTTTCAAAAAAAAAATGTAAATTGGCATTTATTATAAACTTATTGAGTAATAAAGATATCCTATCCCAATAAATAAAAAGATTATAATTAGTATCTTGATGTCAGACTCTTTTATTTAGATAATATAACTTTAAAAATTCTAAACAATCATCATTTGTCAATCTGATATATTCGCATATCGCTAACAGGGAATTCTAAAGATTTTTCTTAAGTGAAATAAACTCCAAGCTATCATTATCATTTACTAATAAATAAATTTCTATCTCGCTCCTGAAACGTTATGCCAATTTCAAATTAAATTGGTACCTTAAATTTTGAAAAGAAATAATAATAGGGAAACTCCACTACATTCAATGCTTATTTTGAAAGTTTGGATATATGGTTTCCAGTACTTTAAAAACATGTGTAGATAGATTTTTATTAGCTCAGAAAATAGTTTTAGGCATAACTAATATATGTGGTTAGGTCATTTAATATCTTCATTTAAATGTTATTGTCATTATTGGAATTGCCAATTAAAAAACAATAATCGTAGAAAGAGATGTTATCAATATTGGTTTTCCTGATTAACTCAAATTAAATCTGCGGTTTTAAATTTATGAGCAGTATAATGCCTTATTTAAAAACGTTTTAAATACCATTACAAATGTGATGATGAATGGGTCAGAATAAAAATATATTATTTTTAGCTTTTTAATATTTTTTTTATATATTTAAATTTTATTAATTTTTTAAACATAATAATTATTTTTATGTGCTGGCTTACAGTGTGCCAACATGATTTAAATAAACAATGGCCCTTTCTGAGCATAAAAAAATGATGACTTTTGTATGGTTCTAGTGGTAATTTTATTTGTGGAAACAGAAAGGGGGAAAAAAATAAACAATGTTTTTTTTTATTTCTATTTCAATTTATGTAAAATATAATATACCAGTACTGGCATGCACCACCAATGTAAAAATTGGTGGGGTTCCCACATAATTTAAATAAAGCAGCACTCTCAAGAGGACATGAAAATGTTGGCCATTGTATGTTTAATGGTAATACATTAGTGTAAATAAGTTTGGTAATAATACTATAAAATAAGGGTACTTTTTAAAGACTATTACACTTCTTATAGAAAATATAATCTGCAATTTTATTTGTAAACTATTATCACTATAACTTTAAAAAATTTGTTAAAATGACATTTAAACTTGTTATTTTAGTGTTGTTAGACAATTTGATTTTTAAAAATTGCAAGCCCAATACTTTGCCCAAAAAATATTACAGAAACCTGGAGATTCTGCTCATAGATGGCAGAATGGTTTGGATAACAAAATCTCAGGACCTGCTTAATATTATTTTGGTTAAAATCTTAATTTAAAATTGCAAAATCAAGCCATTTAAAAACACTAGTTTTTTTTGTTATTTTACATCTAGCTTGGCCTAAGAATAAAATATAAAGTATGCTTGTATTTTGTTAATTCATCTTTAAATATTATAATATATAATATTATTATACCTTGTAAATTTGATTAGATACAATAGCTGCAGATTTAAAATCCCAAGCTAATAGATTAGGTTCATCGGCACTTTGTGATATTAGATCTCCAGAATTGATAAATATCTCATTATTAGGTAGAAAAATGGTATCCAATGACTAAAATATTTATTTTGTAGATTAATACAATATATATATAAGTTTATACTATTAAAATTTAAACTTCCATATAAAAAAAACTTGTACTTGTCCAAATAAAAAACGATAATATTTGATAGGATTATCAAGCTTTTTCCTAAGATCCCAAGCTAATATTTCATTTTTTGAACCAGTTATTATGATATTTGAGTCTGTTGGATGATTGATTAAAGAGGTTAGATATTTATCATGTTCATAGTTTAATTTATTCACACCTTAATATTATTAATTAAAATGAAAGCATTTTGGTTATTACCTTTTTCAATGTCAAATATATCTAGGCGCTTTTCATAATTGATTGATATTACATTTCTGTTATCATAAGACCAAATAGCTTTTGCTATTCCCTTTTTCATTATAAATCTTTGAACAGAAGATAATTTATGCAGATTCCAAACATCAAATGTTCCATCAAGGGATGAAACTAAAAAGAGATGAATATATGATTTGTTCCATTTAATTGTTGATATTTTTGAAGCATACCTATAATTTAGAATTGGTTTAAAGTTTGAATTTAAATCATAGTCTTTATAAGGTAATTTTAAATAATTTTGTTCAAAAATATTGTTATCATTATTAATGCCATCATAAAACTTTGATACTACAGGAATATCACATTTCAATTTTTTTGACACATATGGTTTAATCTCAAAATTCATTTAGATTTTTACAAAGAGCAAGGATCATTGTTTAGCTTGACCGCAATATATTTATTTCAAAGTTTTGTTCAAATTATTTGGCCGCGATTTATAGAAAATTATTTTAAACAGATGTTTTTAGAAACATTTTAAACAGATGTGATTTTAGAGAATATATTTATTAATTTTAATCATATCAATCAAAAAAAATAAAAAATTATTTCTAATATTAATTTATTTCTAAAATCATAAGCACCTGAGACTGTGCTCACCCAAGAACAGAGCTACAAATCTAAGCCCCCTCTTTCCCACCGCTAAAAAAATACCTCCAATTATGTAAATCAACTATTAAAACGTGATCAATACAATAGAGAAATTGAAACATCTCAAGTTACAAATTCATGATTAAATTATAAAATGTATGACATATCTGTAAAAAATTACATTAATAATGCAAAGATGATAATAAAGATAATATCAAATATACCAGTAGTAAGTAATATAGAGATTAACATGTAATCCATAAAAATGGTATCCGATAAATTATAATTGTCAAATGTAGAAAATAAATTTAATGTTTTAATATTTGTTTCGATATAAAGCCGTTAAAATTATTAAAATGTGATTCATTAAAATTAAAAAATTCTTACTTATAAATGAATTCTTATACTGCTGATAATTTTAATATTATCAAATTTTTCATGATAACCGGCATTATTTTTATTTTTTTGGTATACCTTTTAAAAAGCTCACAAAGTTCTATGGGAAAAATTAAAGTTATAGACAAATTTCAATCATCAAACAGTATTTTATGGAAACAAATTAATACAGTAAATTCATTTGCATATCATTATTATAAGCTCGAAATTATTTTAAATATAAATCATAACAAGGATATTATGACTTATCTTAGGCACTTATTTTCAAGTTCTTTCACATATCATATATGTGTTAGGCCTATATTGGATATAGCTAGCCTGAATAATTATGAATTAATATCACCAAATATTGATAGTGACTTATATATATCTTACTCTCAACCAAATCCTACTTACATATTGGATGAACATGATATATCATCTATAACTTTTGAAACTGATTGTATTCGAATTAATCCCCTTGACTATGATTATAAATATTTTGATTATGTTAACCAGGCATCTAAGAATCTAGATCAAAAGTACACCTTGCCAGTATATATTGGTGTATATGGCCATGCGATTTTACCTTATTCTGATATTAAACACAATTTAACATATGAAATATCTTTCATTAAAAAAACTTTAGACCCATCATTTAATTATGAAACCAGTAATTATGGCAAAGAGACATTTAATTTTCAAATATTTGATTTAAATCACGATTCACACCCAGGAAATGAACAAAATATCAAAGACAAAAGTATCTAAAGCAATTTTTTTATATAGCAAGGCCATCCCAGGTCAAATCATCAAAAAAGGCATATTTTTGGCACACCTTTTAAAATTGTTAAAAATTTCTAGAATTATTTACATAAAATGAGAAAGGCATTTATTTTAGCTCACTAGCGCACCTGGTTCCCGGGATCATAGGTGCAAAAAAAGCCACCTTGGAATCTGTAAAATTTTTAAAAAGCTTATATCTCAAATAGTAAAAAAAATATATCATATTGTAGGTTTAAAAAATCTAAAGGGATATCAAAAAACAATAAAAATTGGTGCCTAATTGAGCCTTTAACCTCCAGTTTACCTATATTGCTTTACCTGTGTTTTTATACAAAAAGTCAGTTTTTTCGAATTTTTTTTGGGTTTTTATTTAGACACCTTTTATATATAATTTTGAAATAATCGACTCTTCCGAAATTTGCATTTTTACCAAAATATGATATTATATATGGCACTAATGGTTTATATACTATTTTTAAGGAAAACGAAAATATGATGTTTATAAGAAATGTGATAAAATTTTCCAGTTCTGCCTTAAATTTTTTAGATCTCTAATTTTCTACTGTAGCGATGACTTATTAGCTCGATATTATATAACAGCTACTTTAAAAAAGAAAATCAATTTCCCACACCTGTCTATTACAAATAAATATACATTATTACTATCAAATTGGACAATAAGAAAAATTGTCAAAGAATTTAATATTTATATCATATGGCATTAAAATCAAAAGGTTTGATAAAAGAAAAGTTTTTTCATCGCTGAATCCTAAACACGGTAAGACAATATAGGTGCTGCCACCATTGCTATTGCAGATTATGCTGAAAATTATGCATTTGTGGTTCATGATGAAGATCATAGGTTTTTCTGGAATAAATCTCAAGTTACCATTCATCCTTTTGTAATTTATTACAAGTCACCTAATAATTTAAATCATTAAAGTTTTGCAATAATATCTGAATCTCTCGTTCAGAATACAATTACCATTCATTTATTCCAAAAATATTTAGTTCGCGGCTAGTTTACAATGACCTTCTTCTGTCCTTAAGAGTTTTTTTGCCTATTGTAAGGAAAATATTAAAAGTATAAGATTTATAATTTATTAATATATATTAGTATTTTTTTTTATTAAGGAATAGATTTCTCCTATATTATAGAAGATGAATATTAAAAAAAGTAAATAATTTTAGAAGAGAGGTTCAATAAAGCCCGTACAATATCAGGAACACACTTAATACTTTTCATCCAATTTCTCAGGATAAAATTGAAGCAAAATTTTATTCAACTCAACAGAATCGCAAATATTAAATATAACATGTCACTCGAATATTAATGCAAATTTACTTGAAAAAATTAATGGATAAACATTATGACAATCAATGGTGGATAGCTTATGTTTTTATAAGAAAAATAATCGAAAAAGAGATGTTAGTTTCCTCAAATTCTTATACAATATCCCTCCTTGATTGACAAATTGTGGATACATAAATCCAGGGATGTGAACCCTGCAAAATTTTTGCCTGGGTTAGGTTTAAGGTTAAAAAAATAGGTGGGTTCTGTTCGGGTTTGGTTCAGATTTAAGAATTTTTGAATTGATAAAAAAAAATATTATATATTTAAATCATAATTAAAAAACTAGACATTAATTTGGTATAAAAAATAAATTTTTTATTTTATTTATAGGCAAATTATGGTTAAAAATACAAAGCATAGTCATGTATAGATTTAAAAAAATTTATTTAGTCGTATTTCTTTAAATTAACAATATTTAATAAATTTTGACTTGTTCACTTTCATTTTCCTCTAATTAATAATCTTTGGGAATAAGTTAAAAATTAAAAATAAATGGCGTAAATGAATTTAATTGTTTAAAATTTATTAAAAATCCAATAGGAATCTTTGAGAATAAATTTTTTAAAATTTAAAAATGGAGTAAATGAATTAAGTTGTTTAAAATTTATTAACACTTCACTTAATTGGAAATTTGAAAATATTATAAAATGTCAAGTAAATTATTAATATTTGTATTTACAATTATACAAATATCTCATATTAGTTTAAACATTACACTGAACCCGGGTTCAAATAAAATTCCTAAGTTTGGTTTGGGGTTTTGAAAATTTTATAAACAGGGTTTAAGTTCTGTTGGGGTTCAATTTTTTACCAAAAAACCCGGGTTTTCTTCTATGGGTTCGGTTCAAACCCCTGCATAAATCACAGATTAGATATGTTCAGTCCTTCAACTGCTACCGCACGAATATATACTTTACATAAGGATGAGACAATTAAAACTATTCATCTTTTTAATTTATTTTCTTAAAATATATAATTATTTATATCTAACTAAATTTTGGTTCAAACACATTTTAAATTATGAAATGAATATGATTATTTATCTATCTATATTTCTAGATTATTTGTAAAAATGTATAATAAAAAAATTATTCGAAAGATATTTATTATTGGAAATTTGTTACATTATCAAGTGTTTAATGGGCATTTGCCCACACTGCCCCTCAGTTTAATAGTATATTTAATAGAAATTCTGAATTTTTTAGTATAAAAAAAAGTAAAAATATCTAGTTATTGATAGGTAAGTAACAAATTTTCAACCATAATCCGCAGTTTCATAAAGCGCCATCTTTTTTTCAATTTTTGGTAGAAATGTATATTTCGGAAGAGGTGATAGCGTCGCCAAGATTTTGACATCGTATATATATATATATTTATAAGGTGTCTAAATAAAAGGCAAAAAAAAAATTCAAATACAAATTCCTTTTTTTGCTTAAAAACACAGGTAAAGCAATATTGGTAAACCGGAAGTTGAAAATTCAAAATGGCGCCAATTTTTATTGTTTTTTGATAGCCTTTTTGAGATTTTTATAACCTACAATATGATATATTATTTTTTTTTACTATAAATAATTTTTGAGATATAAGCATTTTAAAAATTTTACAGATTCCAAAGTGGCTCTTTTTTGCACCTATGAGCCCCAATATCTCGGAAACCAGCTGTGCTAGCGAGCTAAAATAAACGGCTACCTATCTAAATAATTCTAAAAATTTTTAACAATTTTAAAAGATGTCGGCCGAGTTATGATCGATTTGACGTGGAATGGTTCGGCAGTATTAATTTAATTAATTAGATAACAAATATGACGATCTTTTTTTAAAGGCAAATCCCTTTTAAATAAATTCTTAGGTTGAAAATTGAAACATTACATTACTACATGTATTTATTTATTTTTTGGTAGATTTTGACAACTACAATTCAAAAGGCTTTAGAAGTACAAAACAAAAGACGAATAAGAAGGAATCAGAACCATTGTTATGGACAATTTTACTAGGATTTTTGAATTTACTTGCAGAAATATTTTGAGTCTTTTCAATCAGAGAAACATTTTTTTTTTTAACAAATCAAGAGCATTATTTGTGTATTTGATTATATTCAAAACAAAATTTACTGTGATAAAAAGATTTTAGGAGAAATTTCTTAATCTAAAATAATTAAATTCGACAAGCTACATTATTGAATATTAATCTAATATTCTTAGGGACTTCTATTATGGGATATGCAGTATGACATAAGTTTGTCTTTGAAATTGGAGGAGGATAATTAGTTAATAAGATGCTATCATTTAAGTAAAATCAGAGGATGGTGTAGAGGGTAGTTTTTATCTCGATTATCATTTTTGATTGGAGAGGAGGGGTAAAACAATTGCTTTTTGCTGGAGGTGGTAGTGGTACACTAATTATTGGCCCTGGGGTATGTAGAAGTCCCTGAATATTCTTAACATAATTTGTATTTTTTTAATTCTTATATTTATTAAAAAATAAAAATAGAATCTTAATATTTTGTATTATCATTATACATTAATATACTGTCCAACATAATACAGTTTGTCAAAAAATATTTGAAAAATTTTTTGATATCCAATATTATGATAACTACATATTTTACATTAATATCGATTAGAAATTAATTTTCAAATATAGTTTACCATAACAGAAATCATTATAGAGATCTAAAGTGTTAACCATTATTATTTCTAAAACCCTAAACTGAGCCATCAAAAAATTTCTCATAAAAAGATATGTGAACTAGTTTTAACTATTTGACATAACTCTTTTTAAAGATTTTTATCATTTAAAATTGTCATTTTTTATGTTATTGTATACTGATATTTGATAGTACCTTCTAACTCATTGTATAGAAGTGTTCTAACCAATCAAATGTTTCCTTACTCCTTACAAAAAAATTTTATAATAAAATTTTGTTTATATACTACTCAATATTATTTTGTAGTGAACAATGATAAAATTAATTTAAAAATAGGTTTAAGTAGCTTTTTAATAGCTCTATCCCAAATTGATATAATTTTTTTTACAATCCTAATCTGAACCGTTATTTATCCTATACCCGATATCCTTTATTATTCTGACCCATGAATTATTATATTAAAACAGAGTAGCAGCACATTTAGTAAGAATTACTTTACGAATTATGGCATGGGTTTACTATTAAATGAAAATATGTCATCTTTTTGTGGAATCTATCCACAATCATTTTATTTATTATCATCTCTTTGATTTGTGTTTTATTAATTTAATAATCTATATTATATAAACTAATTTTTTTTTTAATAGAGAAGTTAAAAATAGTCATCCTCATCTGGTGACAGCCATGAATCTTTAAATAATTTAAAATTATAATTTAAAAATTTCAAAGCTTTGTTTGATCAAAAGGGCTTTCGTGATATTTATTTTAGAGCTATTTTGGCTGATTAGCTTGATTTATGGATTTAGCTTCTTTTCCAGAAGAGCAGTGTGCTCATATCATGATTGGATTAATTTGATGTCTGACATTTCTCTTTTACGCTATACCTAAGGGATCGTAATTATTATTAGATAGGGACAAAATGTCTGTAAATCTTAAGTTCAAATCCATGTGTTTTTTTTTAGTTTCTGGGTGGTTAATAGTATAATTTCTTTCTTTCTGCCAAGCATCTCTACTTTTCTCCCGCCCGTCTCGTTAATTTTTTTCACGGCCCCGCTCCATTCAGATGTTACCAGACCCATAATGAAGGAGAAAAATTTTTATTTATTTATTCTACATTTTATATTTACATAATTGCATATACAAGATAAGCAAATTTATAACAAAAAAATTTTTTAAATATATATATGCTAACGTCAATCTGTTTTTTCCCGGCAATGTGTTATTTTTTCAATTTTAAATCATTTCATGAGCGCCTTTTTTTTAAAATTTAAAAATGGAATTTTACCAGAAATATATTCTATCATGTTATACCCACCCTATGAATTTCAGACAATTTTGGCATGAACTTTTAAAACTTAATATAATTTACATTAGTTTTTCCATAAATATTTTTATATAGAATATAGATGACTAGAGAAGGTTAACGGCAAAATTTTCTACAATTCATAAGAAAGGTATTTTCAACATGCTGAAATGCATTCGATAAAATCTTATTTTTAAATATTAAAGAAGAACCATTATTTAAAGTTGGAAAAATGAAAAAACACATTGACGCTAACGTACATAAAAATGGAGGCAAAAAGCTTTAAAATAAAAATTCCTTTTAGAAAATGAAAAATGATTCCACGAAAAAAAAACTATTATTTATTTTTTTTTTTATTATTTTTTTAAAAAATAATTATTAATATTTTAAAGGAATTTATTATCGCTTGCGTTTTGTCCGTTCCAAGAAGAAAAAAAAGTCAGGATGGAAGGACCGTTTCTATTCTCTGTTCTTTCCGAATTTTATATTTATAATAGTTAATCCAAATAGTTAAATAATATTTAACAGCAGATGAATAAAATATGTTTACTAGTGATAGTTAAAAGCTATACATAGCTTATACCGATTTGGAGTCACTTTATCACGACGATACTTTATCATGCGACACTTTTTCACGCGTAAGAAAATTTGTGGTAGTTTTGTAAATAATTTATATTTTTTACTAGTGATATATTGATTTATAGTTACTTATTAATAAAAAGTATAAATTGAAAATCATTCTTATTGCTTATGTCTCCTGTTTCTTTATTTTTAAAGTACATAAAATTTTGATTTTAAAAATTTGACAAATTTTGGAATGGCTTTTAAATATAAAAATAAATAAAATGATGCTTTTCTAGATAAAATTCTTGAATGAATCTTAAAAATATTCGTTTGAAAAATTATATTCATATTGTATTTCGTAAAATAATATGTTATAAAAGGTTCTTCATTTTTTTTGTCCAAATAAATTAGTTGAATTTCAAAAATTCAAACTTTTATGAAAAAGAAAAAAAATGATGGAATTAATGTTGTTTCGATTTAATAATTAAGTTTAAAAAAATTATATTTATGAAAATTAAAATATAAGTTTTCCTCAATAAAAAAAATTTAAAAAAAATTAATTAAATTGTTTTTTAAATATCAGAATTTAAACGTAAAAAGTCAAAAAATGAGATATTATCAAAACTTAACTTTTCAAATATATTATATTAAGTTTTAAGTTATCATGATAAAGTGTCGCTTTATAAAATGACTGAGTGATAAAGTGTCGCGTGATAAACGCTAGGCGGCTTACACCATCCTTTGTATAAAATATAAAATAAAATCTTTCTAACATGCTTTTTCTTTTTGTAAAATATTTGTCACGGAAAAGTTTTTTTTTTGGCGAGCTATTAAAACAATATATTTATACAACTAATGGTTACATACAATGATCAATTCATGACCCTAATATTAAGATAGGAATACATATATAATACATTTTTTTTGGAAAAAAACAATAGTTTTAAATAATTTATATTACGCTGATATATAAACATTGATATGCCCTATGAGATTGCACAAGTATGATTTCAACTCTTTTAGCTTCCTCTCATAATTTACACCACCCCCTTCTCCTGCACCAAGAAATGCATCTTGATCATCATCTGCCACCATCATTTCCGTGTTAAATAACTGAAAAATTGTTTCTATAGCATTTCCTATGAAATCTGATGTGCAACTCAAGGCACGGCAGACAGGATCTATTTCTATTTTTAGTAAAAGGTTTATCCTAATCCAATTTATCAGTTCCTTCTTGTCTAGTGGGTTTAAGGATTTACCAATTGTGGCTTCATTACTATCATGTTTTACTTTGGGGTTAATAATAAACGAATTACCGATTTTGTTGGAGCTAGAGTGGTCATCGTGGTTAGAGGTGTTAGGAGAAGTCTTTAAGAAATGGATGAGTAATTTTGTAGGGTCCGTTGTTTCAAAGTTTGTTTCTCCGATTCCATCATGGAGTAATGTTAAGATCATCTTTTTTTTGTAGTTAATAAAATGAAAGTCTTAATATTTTTTTAATTAAAGTATAAACTTTATTGATTTTATATTATCAAATTTAAGAGTATTTAAAATAATTATATATCAAAAGATTTGGTTTTCGCCTCATATGTAATGTGGTGATTTATGAAAATTCCTATTGGACCTAGCGAAAACCCAGTCTTAAAAATTTGCAAAGATTTTTAAAATATCTACCTAATAACAGGCTTCTTATTTTTGAGTAGACATATCATTTTTCTTGACTCGTCATAGTTCATCAATATTTTTAAGTTTGTGAATAATATTCCAGGGTTTCCCACTCAAAAAAGGAATAGTCCCAATCAAAAAAGTAAGTGTCAATCATGAAAAGATCCGATCAAAAAAGGAAAAGGGTCAATCATAAAAGGAAAATATCCTATCAAGAAAGGAAAAGTCCCAACAGGTTTAGGAAAAAGTCCGATAAAAAATGGAAAAGTTTCAAACAAAAAAGGAAATGATCAAAATGAAAAGTGTCAAACAAAAAAAGACCCATTTTAAAAAAGAATAATCATTATATTTTTTTTATTATTCCTTCTTATTTAATTTCTAACTTTTTGCGAAAGTCATTTTTCTTATCTTTTCTCAATTTATTTTTCTTCTCATTTTTGATATTTGCATTTGTTATTTTTCTTCACTTCTCTACTCCATTTTTTAACAATTCTTTCCTCTTTTTTCATCCTACATTACAATATTTTGACTTTTTACGATTTTTTCTCCTTATATTGCTATCATCTTTTACATATTTTTAACCTTTTCAATCTCTTTAAGTCGTTTATAATCTTTATTTTTGATCCTTTCTCAATTTTTTTTGTTCTTCTCATTTTTGAGCATTCTTCTTTATAATCATTTTTAATTATAACTTTACTTTTATTTATCATTGACAGACAATATTTTATTAAAATTTTTTGCTTATCAAATTATTTAATTACAATTACGATGTATAATATAGTACATTAACAATTTTCCCTCTTCTTCATTTTGGAATATAGGTCTCCATATTTCTAAAATAATTCTTTGTATTCTACTCAGATTCCTCTCTCTCTGGTCCTTTAAAGCGAATTAATTTCTCCTCCTTATTGGGATTCTGATTTCTGACAAAATCCTTCCATCGAAAAGGTTCATTTTCAATGGGATTAAGATAAGGAGTGTAAGGTGGTAAATATTTTATGGTATGTCCTCTTCTTTCTATCGATTCTCTAATTGTATGGTTATGATGAAATGCAACATTATCCATCACAAAGATTTTATTCATTATGTTTTATTAGCTTTCAATAATTTTAATTCCTTATGGTGATATATTGTATACATTTTTTGAAGAGAAAATCCTTACACATTAAGAGTGAAACATAAGCTCTAATAATTGACGCGTTAAAAAAAAGGATAGTATCAAAAATATAGTATCACGCTTTAAAGTAAGCTATAAAAATAAATAAAAAGGTTATTAAAAATGTTCAAGGTATAAAGACAACGAATTACTCTCACGATTGCGGGAATATTCAGATTCGAGGTTCTTGATGACCCCTGCAACGCTATACACTATAGCAACTTTGTATAAGAAATACTAAATCATTTTGAAGAAGGTAACAAGATGAATATTTTTGTGATGGATAATGTTCCATTTCATCATAATGATACAATTAGAGAATCGATAGAAAGAAGAGTGCATATAATAGAATATTTACCACCTTACAGTCCTTATCTTAATCAAATTGAAAATGTGTTTTTTCAATGGAAGGATTTTGTCAGAGATCAAAATCTCTATAACGAGGAGGAATTAATTCGTTTTGGATCATGGAGAGAGATGTATATCTGAGGAAAATGCAAAGAATTATTTTAGAAATATGCAGACCTATATTTCAAAATGTATAAGAGGGGAAATTATTAATGATAAATATAAATTTGTGTTTCTTCCTATATTATAAACGTAATTGTTAAATAATTTGATATACAAAAAATTCTAATAAAAAAAAATTGTCTGCCAATGAGAAATAAAAATTAGGTGAAAATCAAAAATAATTACAAAAAAGAATGATCCAAAATAAAATGAAAAAAAAATGGAGAAAAAAAAATTTAGAAAAAAAAAATATAAAGATTAAAAATGACTTAAAGAAATCGCAAATGAAATAAAATAAGAGGGAATGATAAAAAAATCAAAATTTAAGAAAAAATGACAAAAAAATTTTTATTTTCCTATTTTAATTGACACTTTTCCTTTTTCTTGATCCGACTTTTTTCTAAGCGTTTGGGAATTTCTTTCCTTTTATGATTGACACTTTTTTTTAATTGGGACTTTTCCTTTTTTGATTGGGAAACCCTTTTAAATATATTAACCCACGATTCCTAGTTATTTAAACTTCTATAAATAATTAAATTGTTTAAACATTTCAGCATGGTTTTTTCAAAATGACACTCAAAATTGCAATGGTTTTTACTTTATATAACATTATATATGTTATTAGAGTCATATGAGCAAAATATCCCCTATAAAATGACCATATAAGTTTCTTCCCATTATGAATTTTATTTTTAAGCGTGCTGCGCTGATCTACAAATTTTCACCGATCCAATCCCATATATAAGACCGATCCGATATTTAGATGGACATCAATATTACCATATATCCTTGAACTATTGTCATTTAAAATCAATATTACAACTAACTTTAAGTAATAATTCAGTTTATTATTTTTTCTTTACTCTTCAAAAGCAAAGTTTGAAAGAAAAAATAATCTTTTTTGAAGGAATTTCTTTAAGAAGTAAGATTTTTGATCAAATTTTACCTTAAAAAATGATGAAAAGAATGATATGGCCAAAGGTGAATTTTTTTATTGGCATTGTCTGTTAAAATATGAGAGATTAGGCCAAATCCTGGTAAAATATCTTTTTTTTAAAAAAAAAATCTTGTAATTTAATGTTTGCATAAAAAAATGGTTTCTCTATAAAATCACATATTTTTTTTAAATAAAGGTAAAATAATACCACTTTTTTTTGGTTACTCTTAAAATCATTCTATTTTTTTTTAACATTACAAATAAATTGAATTTTGGTTCCTTTTATTAATTAATTATCATTGCGAATTTATATATAAATATATATATGGTCGGTTGAATATTATAGTGTTCTATGTCCACACTTTTTAGCAAAATGCATTTTTTTCGATTTTCTTTCTTTCTTTTTTCTACAAGGAAAGAAGGAAGGAAGCAATCCTTCAGTACCTGCATTCTTCAATATCGCCAATAAAAAATGTTTAAATATAATTTAGAATAGACCTATTTGCCTTATTATAAGCGATACAAAATCGCTTCATTTGGGCCGATTTTTAAAAACGGCTAGCCCAATAATTTAGTCAGAAAAATATTGTCTTAGCCTCAAGATTTTGCTAATATATGTCCAAACTTTTGTGCCACCTATGAGCAAAATCTTCATAGTCGCTTAATATTTTTCTGGATAAAATATAGGGTTAGCCATTTTTAAAAAATCGGCTCAAATTTAGTGATTTTGCATCACTACTTGGTGCGATCTCTTATCTAAAATACGAGAAAAAATTGTTTTTTGTATTCCCTAAAAACTTTGAAAAAAATGGATATAGAAGACACTAAATTATTCAGCCGACAATATATAATCATTAAATAACAAAAATGCGATGGAAACATCGGATCTCTTATTCGAATAATAGAGGCCCGATCCGATATTTTTTTTAAACGCTAAATATCGGCTGATTGACATTTAAGGCAAAACCCCAATTTTTTTAGGATCAATAATCATTGAACAATAAATATCAAGTTTCATTGCCATTGATTCATGTCTACTAAAAATACAAACCATAAAAAATTTTATTACCCTTTAAAAAAAATTTAGAATTTTATTTTAGATGAGGCTCTTAAGATGCCGTGAGAATGTATGTGCAAAATTTTAGCTTTATGTTTGCAAAAATTTATTAAAATAAATTGCGAACCCGACGTTACCTCGATCGTATTATTTTTTTCGACGTTATCTCGAAAAGCGTTAATATTAAAAAAATATATATATAATACCAACCAGATATCCAAATATGTAAGGCCGCAAGAATCCCGAAACGAACTCGCATTTTTCTGGGAAAAATAATGTGTTCAGGTTCGGATTTTTTTGAAAAGACAACATGGAATAGGAATTTTCAAAAAATATCACGTGACCAGTTTGGCCCTCTCGATTTCGATTGATCAGATATAAGGTTTTCAGAGAGACTATCAACATCTTTCACATGAAAATAGAAAAATTGGGTTAGCAAAATATACAAACTGTAATTGAATTATGGGCGATGTTTTCAAAAGCCACATTTAATTTAATGAGAATCAATTTATCAGCTGATTCGGTTGTGTGGGAAGGGGGACGTATAAAATTTAACAATAGTTAGTGGTTAAAAAAATAGGCTAAATTAAAAGACGAGTAACGAATAAAATCCGCGGTATTGGAATAAGAGAATTTATGCTTTTCTTCGAATTTTTTATACCCCACCCCTTTCAAAACTGAGTTGGTGTTCTTGGTCAAATCCAATGATAGATAGGCGATTCATTCATTAAATGCATTAAATGTCCATACATAGTTGTCAGCTGTAGAGCCATTTTGTGGTTTGCATGTCGATTAAATAGCATTTACGCATTCATATAATAATAGGCAAAGACAATTAGTGAAAGTGCTAACCATAAAATGGTACTATATCTGACAACTAAGTATGAATACTTTTAATTAATGAACCGCCAATCCAGAGGTTTTATACATCATTGGACAAATCGATGTTTAGTCGGCATTTTAGCGAGCTCAAAATCTCTAAATATAAAATAATTTGATATTATAATTTACGGTATTCACCTTTTTCGCGTATGATTGATCTTCCCCTTTCAAAGAAAGTTCTCGTCCAAATAGTTTCCACAAAAATTCAAAGTGTTTGAACATACCTAGAAAAATATATCAATCGGCAAAATTATCCTCGCGAAAAATTTAAAATTTAGTTTTTTTAAAAAAAGTTTAATTCACCATTGTTATAGTATAGGTTAGAGAAAAGATGAACAAAAAATTTTTTTTAAAAAAAAATATTTATTAGACCTGTCTCAATTACTTTAAAATATATTAGGAGATGCGCTATCACTAGAAAGCTAGAAAGTTCTTTCTCTTTCTTTCTAATATTTAGTATCTTTCATATCTAGTGTTGTTAAAGGATTGAATTTTAAAAAAGGGCTAATTATTCATACTGATTTAAAAAATCTGAATGCGAAATAAAACTGAAATTTTAAAAGAGGTTCTCTTTTTTTTTACCAGTTATAGGCAAAGTTATAGAAGAACATTCATTGGATGTAAGCTCTTTGATATTATCGAGTTCGACCTTAATTGAAAGAATCGTGGCGCAATTGACGAAAAGGGTCCTTGCTATGGATATTCTGTCGTTGGCGAATCGATACAAGTGGGATAATATGTAATTTTCATCGAAATTTCTTTCACTTTTTACATTAAAATTATCGTTAGGATCATATGTATTAGGAGTGTCCTTATATCTAGAGACGGGTAAGAAAGTGAGTAGGGTTATAACTGCTTCTCCCCCGTTGTGATTGTTTAACGGATCGTAAGAAATTAACCGAGGAAAAAGCGCACGGAATTTCGATAAAAGACGCCGAAAAGTTGTGGCGTATTGAATCCCAATATCGAAGAGCGAGGAGAAATAATGACTAGTTTGAATTGAGGCTTTTAAATATCGCGAAATATTTTTAAAGAAAAAATTATATCTGTCTCTTTCTTAATTCTGCATATCATCCATTAAAAATATTTAAAAAATGTCTAAATAATTCCTAAATCGGATGTTTCCCTCACTATTTATTTCCGTTGATCTCCAGCATCCAATTTAAAAATTCCAACATCTTCCCTTATATAAAATCAAGCTATTTCCTCAAAAGGTCGAATTTAATTTTTTTTTTTAAATGCAGATGCCGGATTATATTTTTCAAAAATATTATATTTTCACGTTGCCTAAAATTTTAAACGTTTGTGACTAATCAATTCAAATATCACATTGTCATAATAATATCATATAATCATAAATTTATACTGTTGGTATTGGGGAAATTTTTAATTTTTATCGAATAATCGGGATCATCTTTAGAAATTTCGTGAGTAATTCCTTCGTTAAGATAACGATAAGACTTTATTAAGAAGTGTTTAAAATTAGTGAACATTGTTTGAAATTCGTTTACGTCATATGTGTTTTCGCAATGGCACAAAAGGTTTATCATGCAATGCAGGACGGATAAATCGAAGCCTTCCTCAAGGCAAGGTATGGGTGAAGCCAAGGTATCGCAAATGCTTTGGGCAAGTAACTTTATCGCCTTGATTTCATATGGATTCAATGACGAGTCAAATGACATGTATCTTCTACAACAATAAAAACAAAATAAAAGGAAAGGAAAGAAAAATTAATTATAAAGTGATATTTATTTTAAAATAAAATCAAAACTTTTGAACAAATTCTTTCCGTCTTAGAGGATCGAGATGCTCTCTCAAGGAAATGACATTGTGAAAAGTAACGTAAGCATTTCCGCAATAAAATTTTGGTTTACTAGGACTTTCGAGGTCCAAGGAATTAGAGGAATGGATAGGTGTGTCCAAAAATAATCTTTTTATCACTTTCATCAAACTCTATCAATTTTTTTTTTCCAAAATAATTCAAGGTATCATATATACTTCATATATAAAATAATATAATCTTTTTTTTTACTCAATACCCGGCTAAAAAAGGGGGAATGACTTTGCCCGATACAAAAATCCTTCACCGATCCGAGATTTATATAAAACTAATTCTATACGATTTGCCAAATTTAATTTTATTAACCATCTATTTTTGAACCAATATTTAAAAAAAAACAATTTCTTTAAAAAAAAATAACTGTAAAAAAATATGAGGATAAGACAAGAAATATTTTCAAATATTAGCAACAATTTTGAAAATGTGTGGGCAAAGCATTTGAGTAAGATTCAGCATTTGTGTTAGATATTCTCACGATTCGGGAATACATGTATAACTAATTGTAATTATAGTAGAAGATATAAATCTGGTAAACATAAACAAGGCCGAAAGCCGGGCAATAGCGGGATGAAGACCAACTAAAAAATGTACAATTACTATTTATATACAATATAAAATAGCCTTAAAGAATGATAATATCGGATCGGTTTTTTTATATATCGGCACAGCCCTAAATATTATTAATATATATTTAAATAATACATTCTTAGCTATATTTAAAAAATAAAAAATTTTCTAATTAGGCAACGTGCAAAGACAATGTATTTTACCACTTTTACCCAAAGGGAATTATAATTTGGCAAAATTACTTCAATTAAAAATTCAAATAAACGGTCTTTAACCCAATCAAAATAGTATACACTTCTTAATGGAAAAAAAACGTCTCCCACCTAAAAATAAAAGAAAAAAATTCTTCCAAATCGTGAAATTCTTAAATCTAAAATATTACGATAATTCATAGAAAAAATTATTCAAAATTAAGATGTGGACACGTCCAATTTTAAAAATAACAAAAGGATTGGGATCGGCGTTAAAGCGTATCTAATAAATACCGATAGAAACTCAGTGTTATTATGACTCATGAGGGCACACCTTATTAATATCATACAAGATTAATAATACTCAACTTTTGCAGTTTCCCTTGGTTTTGGGATACCTAATAACTCCTTGACGAACAAGAAATCTTCCAATACTTTGTCATAATTGATTGTTATCGGGAAAATATGGACGTCGCTCACGTGACCACTCAGGAAGGTTTTGTAAACCATGGATAATAAGCCTTTATTTATAATAAATAATAAAATTAAACCTCCTTTTTTAATAGTTAGCTAAAGTAGTAAAATTAAATTTTTATTCATTTTAGTTATTAATGATGTTTTCGATTGAAAATTTGCCATGATAGAAAAGTACTCTGCGATACCCCTTCCAATTATATGCGACCCTGTGTCCATAAAAGCTTTCTTTACCCCCCCCCTCCCTTAAGTGCAATGTGGGAATGTCTGTTATGCCAATAAGTATCGTTCTTTTAATGAATGAATAAGGCCCAAAATTTATAAAATTGTATTTCCAACCATTAAATTTTCAATAACCTTTTTAAAAAGCTTTTAGGTGAAATTCAGATCCTATTTCTATAAATATAAATAATAATTGAAGCCAGATCAACTTGGGTCTTAAAAATTAGTTGTCAGATAAAAATTTCCTGATTCATGCTTAACCTGAAAAAATGGGTCCATCACAAGACTCTAATTCACGTTTGTCTTATCATTTATTCCTTAATGATTGAAATGATTAAAAATATATATTTTAAAACCAATTTTTGGAGGGAGATTTTTAAGGCTTCTACTCCTAGTTCCCTCCAGGAAAAATTCCAAAGGTGTATGACCAGATATCATTAAATGTTTCACGTACTCCTCTAAAATAGCTTCATAAAGTACATTGTAATAAGCTTGTTGACTTTCTTCCAAATAAATTTAAAATATAGGTTAAAAGGGTAGTGTTCACTAGAGATCTGCAAAGTTAGGCCTGGCCCATACCCGACCCAAGACCGGCCCGGCCCAAAACCCGTTTATGCCTGACTCGGGCCTAATTCTATTTAAAATAATTGGGTTCAGGCCAGGCCTAATATTTTTAAAAAAATTCGGGCCACGTCGGGTTGAACCTTGAAAATTTTTTTAAAATATATTTAAATTTATCAATTTTATATTGAATTTTTTATGTAAAATAATAATATTTGATTTTATTTATTGAAACTAAACAACATATAACATGTATGTCTTTTATTTTGAGTAATTATAATTAATTTCTATATTTAAATAAATTCGGGTTGGGTCGGGTTGGTAATTTTTCTAAAATATTTTGGGTTCAGGCTGGGTCGGCAAAACTTTTTAAAAATTTTCGGGCCAGGTCGGGCTTGAAAAATTAGGCCCAGTGCAGATCACTAGTGTTCACTAGCTTGTAAAATTTTAAAAAGTTATATACCTATCAGGTAAGCATCCTCGATTTTGGTAACTTTATCAGTTATTTTAGGTTTTTTGAAATTACGTTTTATAAAAAAAGCACCACATCCTCTAAGAAGTTCACTGATCAATTTTATTGATAAAAAATCTAAAATATAATAATAGAAATATAGTGTCATTAAATGGCTCGATATTTAAAAATGACTAATCCAAAATTAGCCAAGAATATTATGCAAACATGGAAATTTTGCTCATAGAAGGTATAAATGTTCTGACATCTATTAACTTGTATCTTAATTTTTAGCTGAAATATTGGATGAGTCACTTTTTAAAAATATAGCCATTTAACAACACTATAGAAATATGATTATTTAATCATGTTAGATACATTCATAAAAAGGTGCTCATATTCTCACAAATGATTAAATTATTCATTCACTTTGTTAAACTAAAATGACATAAAGATTGGGAAGAGGTTTTTATAAATGATTCATTTTTTTATTGTTTAAGCCCAAAATAGACATAAAATCATTTCACTATATAAACCTGTGGTTGATGCAATATAGGGTATATTTATTTCATTTAAAAAACAGATGTATGATATTATAAGAAAATCAAAATAACTCCTATGATTTGGCAGGAAAACAACTGGATATTTATGTATAGATGTCCTTAAACAATATGATTATTTGAAATAAATTTTAAGATTACTTAATATTTTTTATTGCTTTATGATTATAATATAAACCATCAAAAATTTTGGAAAAAACAAGAGATAGCATGAAACCTAGAATTCGAATATCCCTTATATTCAAATTATGACCCATTTCACTAATGATATTATTGCAAATCAATCTAACGTTTTGTATATTTTCACCATATTCCTCAATTATCTTAATAATATATTGAAAAATATATAACTTAAGCAATTTACATTTTGAATTAAATCAATTATTCTGGAACAATTTAAAATCTTCTCTTTAATTTTTATGGGAGTTGCATTAATTTTATCCTTGTACTGAATAGGGTTATACGGATGACTTATCCAAAACAATGGATTTGTGAGGTATTCATTGAGCAAAACATTTTGATGCTCCTCAAAAAAACTTTCCATTGATTCAAAAAAACATGTGAATCTTTTCTCACTCTCGCAAAACGCAGATGTTTAATTATTTTTTTTAAATATATTATAAGAGGGATTAGGGGGTAGCATGCAGACCCTCGAGCTACCTAAAAGTTTGAATAATTTTCTGAACAATTGTTTTAAATATTCTTGAAGGAATTTTAAGAATCGAGTTACACAAGAATTAACGATATTTATTTAAATAATAAAATAATAATGGTTATCAATCACAATTTATAAATATCTTTCAGTATAAATTAATAGAATATAAGAAACATTTGAATATTATTTTAACTAGAGAATAAATTAACTTTTATATTTATCGATAATTTAAATATTTGATTTATAGCCGCAAAACAATATCCAAACAGATAATATATAAAGGACCATTAAAATATAAAGTAAAATATACATAGAGTATTATTCCACATTTTAAATTTGCTGATTTTGTTAAATTGTGTTATTAAATCTTACTTATATATCTAAAAATCTTTTCGTTTTTTTTAAATTATATTTTAAAAATGCCTAAAAATATTGTAAACGTAGATCTTGTTGAATGCTTTTCACAATGTCTTTTTTTCTGTACAATAAGAAATCTCTGAAATAATTTAATTCAACAAATTCTTTCTCATTTAATACCTAAACATTTCATACACTCTCCGAAGTTTTGCCTAATAGTTTTAATAGAGATAAATTAAATAAAATTTTATTTGGTTGATAAATTTTTTTTATCCAATCAGTGTTTACGATTTTAAAATTGTAAGAAAATCTATTTTAAATTTTTTCGGGATAAATATCGTTACTGTAGAAATATCTATATTATAATTTTCCGATGTCCTAACTACGTCATCGTGTTCATCATGTTATCTCTACGTCATGTCATCGGTACGTATTTATTTTTATTTTTTTTATTTGTTGATTTTATTTATTTATTTTATACAAACAAATGAATGGAATTTCGAGAATTGATGGTGTACACATACTTAACATGGATTGAAAGATTTGAAAAATCGTCTTTGAATTGATAAAAACAATATTCCCTCAACTTTGTAAATATGAATGAAACTTTTTATTTCACTTAATCCTTTCTTTATTTTTTAGATTACCTTATCAATTTTCATCTCATTTATCAATTACACATTAATAAAATCTCTACAAAATACTCAACTTGTATATTTATTTTGAATATACTCACAATTTTTGTAAGTACTTACATTACATTTTTTATACTCACATTTTTCTTTCATAACCAATAATTAAGAAGATAACCAAGTATAATCAAAAATTTAAATATTCTTATCCTAACCTATTTATAATCTCCAATCCTTAAAAATAACTCTTTCTTTATTTTTTCCCCTCCCTTAATGAATTTATTCATCACTAAATTTTATTATCTCATTCTTTTCTTTCTATCTCTATTATCTATTAACCACTATTTCTCAAAACCTTATCAATTCCTTTAATTTAAGTTTTATAATATAATAATTTATACCTTCTTTTTCCCCCTTTTTTTATTATTATTTTTTAATTAATTTACAATTAATTAACCTTAATCTTAATAACATTACATTCATCATGTTATTTTTTAACTTTTAGAATATCATAATAGGCTTGATAAATCTCCCAAAAAATTTTTATAATGATAGCCCTCCAACTACTAGAAATATGCATATAATATTGACCCATCTACAGGTTTTACATTATTTTAATGTTTGTTTAATTTCAATAATAGTTTATTTATATTTTTGCCTGATTTCTTTATTTGTCTAGGCTAACCCTAATCCCTCACATTGCTACAAAACATGATGAATTTATTAAAAATAAGCAAAAAAAATAATGACGATTAAACAAATGCCTTACCCGTTCTAGAGTTATTGGTAGACAAAATAATAAAGAACTACGCTTGAAATGAACTCATCTGGAGGTTTATTTTTTTTTATCTTATGTTTTATATCTTGTTTATTTTATTTTCACCCAGTTCTCCAAATGATATTTCTAACACCACTACCACAATCCCTATTGCCACCTCCGCCTATTTTTTTAACAAATATAAACATTTAATTCTGTACTATCATTCACTTCACTCGGAGTTAATATAAATATTACTTTATCCGATTCTCTGAGAAACTTTCATGAATATTTAGAGGAATGTTCAAACTTGAATGTTCAGTACTGCCAATTTCATCAACTTTATTAATGGAAAAATATGCAGTAGTTCGGTCGTGGCCTTTAAAACAATACTTACGACCGTTTTATGGTTGAGTTAACATTGTAGTTCATGATTCTATTTTAGATGGGGATACCAATGCTGACATTGACAGAAATATCGTTTTGAGTGTTCAAACTTGAATGTACAGTACGGCCAATTTCATCAACTTTATTAATGGAAATATATGCAGTAGTTCTGTCGTGACCTTTATAACAATACTTACGACCGTTTTATGGTTGAGTTAACATTGTCGTTTATGATTCTATTTTAGAGGGGGATACCAATGCTGACATTGATAGAAATATCGTTTTGCGTTCTTCTTTTACCAGCATCCAAAGGCATAGGCATATCATCTTTATCGGGACGTAATGTGTTTTGTACACTGCTTTGTTAATCCGTCATCACTTTCATCAACAACCTTTAATGATATAAAATTATACATTAATTATTTCCTCTCCAGACGACCGCCCAGATTTATTTTGTTGCTTTTTCCATCAAAAATAAAAATGTCAACAAGAATTTTCTCTTATTTTTATCAAATACATAATAAATAATCCTCATTATTTTTTAAAAAAATTATCCTAAATTTGTCAATAAAAAAAAATATCTTAAAAAATATATAAATAATTTGCATATAAGTTTCATTAGTGTTTAATAGCATTTTGTAATTTAAATAGACAGCATTTTTTTTTTTACTTAACATAAAAAAAATATATATCCCTTATCAAATTCTTTGAGAAATAATATCAGAAATGCAAGACATACATTAAATTGATCTGAAAAACAGCAATAACCCTATATAATAAACAATATATTTTTTAGATATAATTTTAATTGATCATATTACAAAAAAGTATGAGAGTCGGTTATTTTTATTTTATTTGTCATGATTCTCTAATAAGTGGTTGCCCAAGCTTTCCCAGTTTACCTTAATACGGAATTTACATGTTTTTTTCCATATTAAACTAATTGGTAAATCAGATATTTCCCGTTCATGTGATGATATTAAAAATTTAACTATCTCCGAGGCGGGAAAAAATTTTCAAAATTATAATGGGTAGGACTGGGCTTGGAATTAATATTAGCTTGCACCTGACTTAGGAATATTTTTTACAAATTATTAAGGGTTGAGCTGGGCTTGATAAACTTTTTTAAAATTTTAAGATCTTGGAAGCTTCCTAATATTGTGAGCTTGAACCTGGCATGACATCTATCGTAAAAAATGAATAAAAATCTCATTCCCCGTCATTTTTGACGGGCCTTCTACTAGTTTAATTTAATTTTTAAATTTTTGTTAAATATTGAAATATAATATTTTGAAATTCACAATTACCAAACTCATTTATATTTTTTCTAAAATTTACTAGTGGTGGGGAGGGGGGAGAGTCTACCCGCTGGCTATATGATTGACTTTGTTGCATTATTTCTTAAAGTTATTACATGCCTTGATCTTGATTTAGATCATAAAATTTTTTTAATATATCTCTATAAACAATAATTAGAAAGAAAAAGTTAAGGTTAAAAATTTTTTAAAAATGGCTATTATAATTCAAATTTTTTAGAAAAAATATATTTTTACAAAAAAATGTGAATATCTAAAATTTTATAGAAATATAACATGGCAAAAGAAAGATCTCCAATTAGTAGATTTAAAAACCTCTAATAAAATGTATGAAAAAAAAATTAACCTGATAACCACCCCTCCCTCCTTCCCATAAAAAATCTTGGGTATGTCTATAGTTGATTTATTGCTATTAGACGATTTTATTTCTAAATGTTTTGTGTGTTGGTTGAATTGTAGACGATTTTATCTAATTTTTATAAAACAGGATTATATCATAATCTTGTTATTGACGATGTGTCGTTAAAATATAACTCCATTGTTTAAAATAAAAAATTTATATAACTCGGCAGACTATACTCATCTTATGTTTTTACTTTACTATGGGAAATACATTGTTATGTAGAGGATCAAGTTCTATTATATTCATCATGTTTATCACTTTGGAAAGCCATAAGAATGTGACATAAGGATAAACGTTTAGATTATCTTTATCCACATCAAAAGTAGCACGTGCATGACAATCGCTTTCCGGAACATGTATTAGTAAAAATCACTTTTATCAGTAACGCATATTTACAATAATGCCGTTTGGAACGAATTCGCCTTCCATTTTTCAAGGTTACTTAGGACAAACAACCTTAAAAGTAAATAATCAACGCAGGTAGACATTTCGTATTTCAAAAACAAATAAAAGTTCAATATTATGAATGCTAAATAAAATATTTGATTATATATTAATTATAAATTTAATTATACCCAAATAATATTTTAATTTCTCTACTACCATTACCATTTAGATTTTTAATTATACATAATCTCTATTATTTATTATTGCTAAAATTTGATTATATTGTATAAAAATTACATAAAATTATTGAAATTGTATCTTAAAAATAAAATAGATAATGTATAAAAATTTATCCATTAGTTGACTAGTAGTCCCTATTAATTTATAATATTTTATGCTTCTAGATTATCCATAATATAAAATGTAGGACCATATTTTATTATATATGTAATTTCGCAGCATATCGAATCTATTATAATAATTCTCAAAAAACGTCAGTCAAATTTAGCCAATCGTGTTCTTTTAAAAAAAATTTGTACAATAAAAATGATTATAGCGAAATCGGTCCAATAGGAGTCACCTTACACACGAAACATTCATACACTTACCATTTCATTCACTTCACATAGCAAAGCAATGGTATCCCGGAT